TCCCCCCCCCCCCCCCCCCATTTCTATTTTTCCATTTCTTCTCTCTTTCCATTTACTCACTTTCTTTCCCTTTCACTTCTACAGCAAAACATATTTCCACATATCAAATATCAGCATCACATCCCCACATCTCACGTGATCTCTCTCCACGTGTCTCTCTCAGTCTCACCACACACCCTGCCGCAGACAAAATCATGAGAGGTGGTGATGCACTCCGCTACATGGCTGGCCCTCGGGGATCCACTGGCATGATGCTGCGCTGGTCCTCAGCCGAGCCGCAAAGCAGACATGACATCTCATATATCTGTAATAAATACAAAAAAATGAATTTTGAAAAAAATTGGGGATTCTCGGGTTAGTTTCATTTCAACTCATTTCAGTTGACAGGGATATAAACAAGTTTTGTAAAAAAAAAGCCGGAAAATATATGGCACGTGCGCACTGACTGCAACAAGAATACAGTGAGACAAAATTATATTTGTTTCTTTCCCTTTATTACAACAAATAATTTCTATTCAGTATATATATATAATATGTATTGTTTATAGTAGACTTTTGTTAAAAGCTGGGAAATGACAAGTCAGCTGGAAAAAATGGAAAAAGCCGGAAGATTTACATCCCTGAGTTGAGTGAGCATTGACTGTATGGCTCCTGTCTGCCCAAACAATTCAGTGGACATCCATCAGTATATTTTATCATGTATACAAACTGCAATCAAGTCTACAAAATATGGCAATATCTCAGGAGATTTTCTCAATATTTGACAAACCTGTGAATCATTGCTACTGGAAATGCTTAGTGAAAAACATTTGAGGACTAATGAGCAAACTTAATAGTCCATAAACCAGGCTTCAAAAACATTACCATTGCAACGTTTCGTTTTAAGCATCTGCTTTCATCAATCCTTTTATTGAATGTACAGAAAGAAATATAGCTTTTATCAAATGTGTACGATTTACAGCTTCATAAATTATAAAACATAAAAGAAGGCAAAACCTCCAACCTGAAAATCTCCATCGACCTTGAAGGTGTACTCGTGCTGTGCAATAACATGCTCACAGCTAGAACATACGTCTGAAAAATAAAACAGGGAATGGTGCAAACAGATTGCTGTTGTTTTACCAACAGCCCTTAGGCTTGTATCCTTTTGCCTTGTCAAATGCTATAGAAAGTGAAAGTTTTCATGAGTTGTTCTCTATTGTAGTAGGGCATTATATATGGACTCTCCATTATAAGCTCAGGTGCAGGGCTATTGGTAGAATGACCTTATTTCTAATCTCCAAAAGGGCTTTCTTGAACACAGACTGTTTGGGGACTTTTAAAGACCCAGCCTCATCAGACATGGACACATTAAATCTAATGTTTTACATAAACCTAGTGCAGAAAGAAGTTGAAAAGACGTTAAATCTGTACAATTTTTTATTAAGTTTTTAAATTACCAGTAACGGTATTGGGGGGGAGGGGGGAGAAACAAATAGTCTGCAGGTTGCAGTTAGAAGAATAGCTGCAGTTGGACGATCTGTAAGAATTAATTAAATGTCCTACTTGACAGAAGTTAAAAAAAGGTCATTTGGAATACAGGCAAAAAACATTCAATTTTTTTTTAGCCCACTTTGAGCTGAACGGTATCCTCAGTAGACAGAATGGCATGAAAGAGATTTGCACAGAGACATAGAACAGCAAAAAGAATCCTCCCCCTTCAGCCTACCAGGAAAGCCGTCAAATGTGTGGCACCCAACCATCAGACAAGCTGCACCCTCCTTTAAAATGACAGTGGACAGTTTAATAAATCCCCCTCCCCCCTTTTCCCTATACACTCACACCTAAAAATCAAAGTAAAACTTTACACTACTACAGAAAAAGCTGTGCGTCATAATACGTGTATGAGCAAATAAAGATATACCTGACAAGAAAAAAAAAACCAAAGCACAGGGCAGACAAAGACAACAGAGGATGTGTGGTCATGATTTTACAAAATATAGTAAAAAAAATAAAAATAACACGGCTATTGTTGATCTTTTGCCCCCCCCTTCCACATTTTTATATGAATATATATAGTTTTTATACAAAAAGTGTAGAATTACATATATTTTATAAAATTATCTCTCTAGCCTGAAAAGATAAGCAGACATGATGCTCTAAAAAAACCTATATTATTCTGGCATTTTACCCGCAACCCATCTGTTCCAATTTCTCAGAATTATCCCTTGTCTACTTTTGCATCTTCTGCCTTCCACTGTTCCGGTGAGAGTAAGATACTCAAAACTCTCACATTCATGTTCAAGTTGTAAGGTGCAATAAAACGGAGGCACTAGACATTACTCTTTGACAGAATTCAAATTTCCAACATACGTTCATATGTGATAAGCTCTTCCTCCTCAGAGTCATTGCACTTGCGATTTGATGTCCTGAGACCCTGCTGACCACAGCTACTGCACTTGACAAAGTTGATCATGTACGACCCCTGCTCCACACATAAGGTGTCCTGGGCAAAGAGAGAAAGTACAAAACAGTTTACAAACTTGTGATGGTAGAAAAGTGCTAAAACAAAATGATAATGAATGTCATAGCCATAAAACAATTGCCCCTATAAACTTCATCATGTTGGGTTTTTTTCAGGTTTCTGATTACTGGCATTTGTACTGTTACTTATTTTCAAATCCACAAGTTCCTAAAATTTGACATTTTCGTGAAGTTGACTTAGGTAAGCACTTTTTTCCTTTCACCATCTCAAACAACAAAAAAGTGGAATTATTGGTATCATCTTAAAATTCGATAATTTGTCTTCCTTTCCATGAAAAAAAATACCCATCTATGTTGAACAGAAGTCGAGATACAGTCGAACCTGCCATGAGCGCCATCTGCACAAACGGCCACTCCATTTCCCCCCTTGCATTTTTTCTCTATATATAATTTAACTGAGTAAAAAAGGTCATCTGTCCAACGTGGCTGCATCCACCTTATTTTACCAACCCACGGTCAAATTTACCTGCCCCAGGCCGCCATTGTGGTCACTCTTTGCCCGACGCGTTGTCATAAATTTTGAATTGGCCCCTCACGTGCTGTTTCTTTTCAAAATCTTCAACCCCAAACAACTCAATGGGTACTTTCAAAATGATCTAAATTGTTGGTTATTGTAATACTGTAATATTGTATGAAAGTGATTTACTTTCAAAATTCCTTCAGTTGCCATTTTGTTCCTTGCAATAACATCTGAATTATTATTTTTGTTACATTGTGATTTATTTGTTTTTATTCTCCTCCGTCACAATTGATTTGATCTAACATTCAATAAATTATTACTTTTACAGTTAATAAATCTAGACATTTCCTTAGTCTATGTGGGTTTGTGTGCACGCTTGAGTTTGTCTAAAAATGAAAATAAAATGCTAATTTCAAATATGAAAAAAAAGTAAATTGAATACTGTATTATTTTACAGTGACAGGGGGGAAAGCAGACATTTAACCTTATCCCTGACAACATATTTCCCATCACATTCCTGACAACATGGGTGGATCACACCCGTATAGTCCACATATAGTAAAAAATGATTTTATCTGATTCCTGACAACATGGGTGGATCACACCCATACACTTAAACCTAGAGAAACCCATATATATATTTTTATATATATATATATATATATATATATATATATATATATATATATATATATATATATATATATATATATATATATATAATATATATATAATGTATTATATATACTATATATGTGAGTGTATATTATAGATAATAATTTATTATATATATATATATACATATATATATATTATTAATATTATAATAATATATATATATATTATAATATATTAATAATATAGTCTTCTACTTTATTTGTGTTAGGCGTTACATTTTAGCCAAACTGGCATAAAAACAATCTTTGGAACTCTTTCCAGACGAATTTGGGAAAACACTATGTGGCAGGACAAAATGTTACAGTAGACGAACAGTTAGTTCCATTCAGAGGCCGCTGTAGCTTTATCCAGTACATGCCGTCCAAGCCTGACAAGTATGGACTTGAGTTTTTTTGGGCTTGTGACCCATCGACAAATTATTCGCTGAGAGGTTACCCATACCTTAGGAAGGAAGCAACCTTTACCAACCAGCTGAGAGATGTGTGGGCATTGCTGCAAAAACAGTGGAAACATTGACAAAGGACTTCCAAGGCAGTGGTTGTAACATAACCTGCGACAACTATTTCACGGACACCAAGCTAGCGGAGTCTTTAGCAAAGAAGAAACTCACAATGATAGGGACCGTAAAAAGAAACAAAACCTTCCTTCCTGTGGATCTCCCACCAAAGAAAGCTCTTCCTCTAGGTGACTCAAAGTTCCTGTTCAGGTACGAGACCAATCTGGTATCGTTCCAGAGTTAGCGGCCCAAGAATGTCATGCTTCTTAGCACAATGCACAGGAAGCCAGATATTTGCCCTGAGACCAAAAAGCCTGACATAGTGCTGGACTATAACAAAACAAAAGGAGGGGTCGACGCTATGGACCAAATGGCCCATGCCTTGTCAAAGCGATGGCCTTTGGTTGTGTTTTTCAATTGATGGATTTGTCATCAATTGCTTCCAGGGTGGTCTTTAGGGTGAAGTATCCTGCAGACACTCTCTCATATGAGGAATGCAGGCAAAGTTTCAACGCGAATGTTGGCCGACCTCTGGCACATGCCCATATTGTTCGGCGTGCAACTGTGCCTACTTTGCAGAAAGGTGTGAAAGAGAACATTTCTGTCGTGCTGAAGTCTCTTCAACCCACACAGCAGCCAACAGCATCAGGTTCAAAACCACCAAAGCAAGCAAGGATGCATGAAAGAGCTGCTCCTGCAAAGACACAGAAGAGATGTGCACTATGTCCCTCAAAGAGAGACAGAAACAAAAGCAACATGCTCCAGTTGTCATTGTCACATTTGCCGGGAGCATACTGTACTATCCTGCCAGAATTGTTCTTCTGCTTCCACTGAGATCTAAAGTTTCCACACAGATGTTCAGCTGTTACTGTTAGTGAGATAAGCACAAGTAAATATAGACAATGCTCTTTCATGTTATGCAAAAGTTAGGAATAAAGGGATCTGTTTATTTTTCTACTACATGTACAGAAAAGTGCCCATATTGTTAGCACAGTATAGGCCTACATGTATTCAATCTTACTTGTTTCTGCTTTTATGGGTTGTTCTGAATTAAAAGTTTTCATTGAAGTTGAAAAAGCATGTCCTTGGCTCTCTTTATTAACACATTTTTACTATAAAAAGTATACGGGTGTGATACACCCAGTTGTCAGGGACTGTATAAAAAAAATCTAAATGGCTACCTACTACACCAAAGTGACCAAATGGTTAGTTTGAATACACAGGACAAAGCGAAATGGCATTCTTGAAGAATAGATGGAGTTTGGTCTCTTTATGATGAACGATACACGAACACTCTCAAAGTTCTGACGCGAACGGGTGGATTACACCCAGTTGTCAGGGATAGGGTTAAAAATGATTATTTTAGTCTACTAAACCTTACATTTGTTTTATAAAACAAAGGAAAGACATTCTGAATGTCTAAATAGGTAAAAACTGAATAGAAATAAAAAAAATTTTGAAGTGATTTAAATCACTGATTTTTATATTAAAAAATCAAGTTGATTAAAATTTTACAAATCGACTGATATAAATCGACCTGATTTAAATCAACCCAACCCTGTCCACGTTGTGATACAAGAAATATTTAAATAAAATCAAAGATCGATAATCACAGATGCATGTTCATTTATAATGCTACTACCAAAGTGAAAAAACCTGTGGTAATAATTTTCTTTAAAGTATTAATCATCGAAACTTTATGATAAATTTAATTCCATTCATCCAACTTGGGTATCTGGACTCTTGAAAAATAGAGTACAGACTTTGTGCATGGAAACCATTACTACTGTTGACTGTATAACTCACACTCACCCTGTCTGGGTACTCTTCTTTCACACAAAGTTCACACATACTGGCCTTTTAGTATTCTTGAAAGTCACCTGGAAAAAAAAAAACACCCAAAAAAAGCATGTATCATGAAACAAGTTCTGAAAATGTTAGATGTTTATGGCATGGACTTAACTTACTTGGTTTGCCTGTTCTCAAGCATTTTCCCACATAATATGGTGAAATCATAAATGTAATTTCTTGTTCCCCTGACACCACACAGGCTATTTGTTAGCAATACCTAGAGGATTAAATTAAAACTGGTAACAACCATCTGTCACAGATGTAAAGAGCCATTCATCATGATTCATTATCATTATCAAGCAATGGACATGATCTAGTATCAAGACTTTATCATCATCTACCCGGCCCTGGATGCGAATTGTAACTCAAGGTAGAAAGAAGCGCGGGAGTTAAAAATAGAGGAGTTGAAGGTGACGAGGTGGAAAAATTATGGAGAGTGTGTAAACAACGAATGGTCTTGCTGGCAGCCGGTCCCACATCCCGTGCACTAGCTTCAGTAGTGAGACATACAATTATTTTTTACTGGAGAGGAGAAAAATGTTTTTACATTATTTTTATTCAATTTGTTGTTCATTAAAGATTTTTAGTTTTAGTAGAGGTTTTACGGCGCTCGCAACTGCATAAGGTCATATGAGCGCCAGAAGATTAGAGGTGTTACAAGAGAGTAACAAACATAAAA